AAAGATGTCGTCCCCTATGAACCTTTGCGGTTTATAAGTCGAAGATGGACCCTTTACCCCTGACCGAGAATAAGGATTTCTTAATGAACTACTACGACTCACTGCACTCACTCATCTCAACCTCATGACTTTTTGTAAAATTTATGAGCTAGGATGATTTTACGACATGGTTAGTCTAAAAAATAAATGGACAGTCGGTCTTCTGGGGCCCGCTCGACACCCCAAAGGGACCATAGGACCCGGGAGTTGTTGTAGAACGCTCTGCGCTTGTCAGGCACAGCTCCCGTCCGAAGTAAATGATTTACAATAGACACTAACGAATGTATAGGACTACACGTCTTGCCTTATCTTTGATAGATTGACTAGTAAATTTTTACAAAGTTTTTTTTGTGACATGATGCGACTCGAAGACTTACGTAACGAATCCACGGTCGCTGGGGACGCGGCAACACTCTTAGCATATGTCATACGTGACGTGCTTTACAAGGAGTGTTTGGAATAATAAATAGAACGAACTGTAGACGTGGTGGGAGCAAGTCGTAGCAACCTCCCCTGTGCCTTCGACAGCCTCAACAGCTTGCTCTCGTCCTCATTGGATACTCGTAATTTATCAGACGAGGTAGACCCTAATATTATCTGACAGCCTCTATTATTGTCTTGTGTGTGTTTTGTGAATACCTCGTATACATCGATCCCTTTGCCGGGGCCCCCGCCCTGTCTCCCCCGTCCGGAGGAGAGGGAGACAGGGCGGGGGAACCACATGGTGATCCGTGAATGGAGGGGAAGGAGTCGTCTGACTGCTGCCCGCCACTCGGATCCAATAAATAAAGGGCTTGGTCCACAGACTAAGACTCCTGGACCAGCCAATCATCCTCGGCCGCAGCAGCGAGAGCGTCCGCTCTCCACTGTCTGTGGGCCAGAGGGAGACGGACACAATGAGTGCACGACACCTGGGGAGTGAGAGCCGCGTTTGCGTGCTCTAATCCCCGGCAGGACTCACACCGTGTGCTCCGGTCGTAACTCATATGTCGGGTTGACACCGGGCCCAGGCCCTGTTTCCCCCGTCCGGAGGAGAGGGAGGATGGGCCCAGGGGAACCAGGAATGTTTGCTTTTTAGTAAACAGCTCTGAAAAGAGCTTTGTGCCTGACAATGCTTCTGCAACGGAGTGCTGAAGAAAAGTGGGAGTGGATTGTAGGGCCTACTTCCTATTTATACGGAAGTGAGCCCGAAGGTGGGGCCCACATCATAGGTGGGCGTGGATTAAGTCTTTCAGTGCTGCACACGTGCAGTGGGGATTACCCAATAGCGATAGCCTTAGAGGGCGAAGCCTTATACGATATAGAACGTCTTACCTCCTCCAGCTGGTATCAGGTGGTGGTGACAGATATACTGAACCATATGGACAGCTGTCAATGTGAGAATGCAGGTTAAGAAAAATCCAGCATGAGACCGGATACTCTTGGCGCATTCGATGCGTTCATTCCAGGAAAATCTTTCAACACTAGGATGTATATTTTAAGAAGCACGGTGCTGGGCGATTAAACCAGCACGTGATCAAAGTGAGGGATAACGAAAAGTGAGGTCTGATATTAGTCAGTGTTCATTTGTAATACTGACTGATTATTGTCGATGCTGCAATAACAAACAGAGTAATAATTTAGATTTCATTAATAATAGACTGAAGTCATTCTGCAATATAGAAGTATCTGAAGCATCCATCAGCTACAAACATCTTATAAAACATCATATAGCTTTGAAATGTTTAGTGATATCTGATAGAAATATTTTATATGATCTTACAAGGACAACCAGCAAAAAAATATGTTCTGTTTTATGTCACACTCAACCCACTACTTCACTGAAGGCTGGGTTATGTATAGGTGGTTCTACAATGTGTTAAAGTCATTTGAAAGGTGTGGAAAGATATTTATATTTCAATATAACAGGACTTGATTCAATTACACCACAGCCTGCAGTGGTGTTTTCAGAAAATATGAACACTTTTATCCTAATATTATACAGCTCTCAGTGTCTACATACACAGCAAAGTAATCCGGCGGTATTAAAGGATATCTGGCGTCCATGTTTGTCATCAGACAGGGGTTTCTGGTGGGGGGATGTGATGCGGCTCCGGTCCCGGTAAACTCTGTCCACCAGCCCGTGGTGTCGCGTCGATCTGTTCATGTCCAACCCTGAATTCTGAAAAACAAAGACAGGAACAAATATTATTTACTCGTCAAAGTGTGATTCCATAATTTAATTACCATTTTTTTGTTTGTGAAGTTCTCTCTAAATGAGTCTGTGTATTGGACAGTACTGAATATGATGTGCAAAGACAACTAAAGCATTTCTTAAGTTTCGAAGTCATACATTAGAAGAAAAAAAAAAGGTGCTGCACTAGTTCATGTAGCTGGGCCCAGTTACACTGGCCTTGGCCCACAGAGAATAAAGCTTGGGTCTGATTAATGAGAAAAAAATGTGCAGCATGTAGAACAGGGATGTAAGCCAATCAGAAAAAAATGTATATAGAAAACTGTGCAATGACTGTGAAAGTGAGAATGAAGATCAGGAAGGCCCTTTCATTCTGTTGACACGCACTTGTAAAAGTATTTCATGAGTAACAACATAAGCCTTCGTTTTTCAGCTAACTCCCACCATCCTCTGTCTGAAGAAAAAACCAAGAAAGCACTTTCTTCTTAAGTTGTTTGGGTTGTCAACCTGAGGGTCTCAGACCAAATTCTTTGTATCTCTGTCCCTAGAGAATGATCTTACTTATAAAATAAAACAGAGGTCTGAGAAACTACTGATCCCTGCATTAATCCCATGAATTACTATTAGGTTAAAGTAGTGTCTTTTACTACATATTCATGTGATGGCAGTATATTGTTTACATACATTTTTCCAAGGATAGAAACGTTAATATTCATAGGAAAAGGTTCTCAGCTCTTTTTCACTGCAGCACTAGATGAGCATTTTTTGAAAATGTCTTGATATGAGTTTAGACTAAGATATTACCTAACCCAGCTTTATTCCCTTTGGCTTTTCACTCTGATATAAACAGATGGACAGAGATGATAGCATTGCCATCTTTTTTTTTGGATGAAACCAACAACTTTCAAGCTCTGTCTTATTTTATAACTATTCATTGTTTCGCAAATTAAAAGAAAATTCCCCACAGCTAGAAAATGCCTATGTTCATTTGTATTTTTTTAACTATCTTTTGCAACAGTTGCATGAAACTTGCATTCTTAGCAAACAATGAGCAAAAAATACACAACTGTGGCTATAATCTATTTACTTTGGTATGGCACATCATTGGTGTGTCTCTTAAACTTCGAACCTGGCATCATACATTGTTGATATGTTGTGGGATAAATATATAAGGTTCAAAGTCATGGTGGAAGTCTCTTTCTCAGACACAATGAATTATTATTTAAAAAATACACTGCTGGCTTGGCATGTGCTCTTGTTCACATAAGTGAACAGTAAGGATGTAACTTCTTCTGAGACAGATAATCTATCCCAGGAAAAAAGGATATAATTAAGCAGCTGTTTAAAAAGAAAATGTAAAATGTTTTATAGAGCGACGTTAATAAATAGTGCAGTCCAATGAATATTAATAATTATAAACTGTGGGTGATTAATGGAAAACATACTGTATAATGGATGAACCTACTAATTTATCATCTACATAGTATTTTACTTGTTAGTGAAAAGTTGCAAAAATAATAACAAAAAAATCCTTCACCTCAAAAGACATGTCCATAGCGCTGTTTCCAATCTGATTGACGTTGGGCAAAGATCCTCCATAGTACTGCCCACGGTTCGGTCCCAGCTGCAAGTATTGAGTTTTCTGAAACTGCAACTAGAAACAGAACAACATCAGGTTAAACTAGAGGCAATTATATAAACATTACAAAAGGAAAAAAGCAAGGCTGTTTACATTCAGGGCTAGATCAGGGTCCATGGAAAGAAAACAACTAACTGGCTATAAACACAACAGCAAGATAGAGTCAATAATATCATTAATAATGGCAGCAAAATGAAAGAAAATACTGCAAAGTGGAAATGTTTACACTTTTATATTAATCCCACCTTAATCCCATGTGGGGACTTTTAATTGTGTAAACAGGCAGCAACAATGAGAGCACCAAGCGTATTGATGTTTTCTTTATTAACCACCTGCGTGAGATAAACGCTAGATGTCTTCTGGCAAAGTACGAGGCAGGCTGCTCCATTTTCAGCAGTCATCCCAGCAGTGTGATGGGAATTCAAATACTTTTAAATGTGCGAGCACGTCAGAAATGATTCAACGTTGAACATTTCAAAAGCATATTCCTGAGAACTTTACAACTGTGTTTATTTCAAAGCGACCTCCAGCTCTATTTCAGATTAGAGAAACCATAACTGGTCAATTACATTTCCTCATGCAAGCCTACTGCTCACTGCTGGCAGGGCAGAAAATCTAATAATGGCAATTACTATGCCTGCATCGCTGGTGTTTTGCGATAAGCCTTCAACCTCGGAGTGCATCTCTGTATCCACATTCAGACCAACTCTGTTGACATAGGATTACTTATTGTAACATTTCAGGATGAGGAAGAGAGCAACCCTAATCTTTTCAACCCAGCAAGACACAGAGAGACAGAGGGAGGCTGAAGGGGGGAGGGAGGGGACAGTGTTTTAAAAGGAGGAAACTCTAAACCAGAGGCCCACTTCCCACAGGTCTAACTTTGGCTCAGACAACAGCTTCATACCATTTGTCCATGCATTCGAAGAAAATATCTACATAATAAAAACTCAAGGTGAGCTCTTTGAATAACATGTCTAGACATGTATACTGAAATAGATTTGTATAACAACATATAGGCCTGGGGTATACATAACACTACTATAACCGTATGTTGACATAGATATGAGATTGCTTTAGTGTTTTTTCCTGTTATGTTTTTTTTAGGAATTAACCTGTCTAATGTTCTACCTCTATTATTATTTTTCTTTTAGCCACTTTTCCATTTCGTCCTCATTATTATTTTTTTCTCAAAAATATCATTGTGTTAATATTTAGTGAAAGCACCAATAGTTATCACTACAATATTGTTGCAATATCGATATGCTGGTATCTGACCAGAAATATTGCGATGTTTGATTTCCTCCATATTCTTCAACCCTACAACATTCAGACACAACTAAGTCATCAATTAGTATGTAGACAAATTAATAAAAATAGGGTGATTTTAAAAAGTTGTGGTAATCTTTTATCACGAAAAAACACATCTGCCAAAGCTGCTTAACCAAGCCATCTTTACAGTAGATATTGTCATAGTAGAGAAAGCACAGGTGTTAATAATTACATTAAGGCCGGCATGTTCATCTCCAGCCCGAAAACAAATCAGCTAAATGGAATTCAGCCATCACTCATATTATTATTTACACCTGTGCCTTGCCTACTGTGACATGTTATGTCTCCTGTGGCATAGAGAGAGAGGAAGGGTTGTGTTTCCGTTTTAGCCTGTTGGTCAGACTGAAATTGCAGTTTAAAGAGAGCGAAATCAATAGCTTGATATTAAAATAATACAGTAGCAAAGCTCATTTGACTAGGATTACAAGAGGGATGTATTGAGAATATTTTTGGTCATTCTTCCTGTATATATTGCCAGCCAAAGCATTCAACAACCACTGCAGTAGCTGCATGTTTGCTGTTAAATGCCGTCTTCCCATCATTCTGTAGCACTCACTACTAAAGCCCTGCCTCCAAAGGATTTATTTTGGAGGCCTGTGCCGTATGTGGCTTAAATGTCCACATAATCTGCTAGCCTTCATCTTTTGTGAAAATGTCTATCATCATATTGCAGAGCACAGGCCTGAAGACCTGTCAGACAAGTTTTCCCAGCCACGGTGCACACACACACACACCTCATATCACACAGGCCTACATTACGAAAAATGTAAACATTACAGAATGTATATTTATATTTTACAGTGTTTGGCTAATCTCCTCCTATTTGAAAGCACGAGACGAGGAGAAAATCATCTGCAGGTCGAGGCGCGCTGTCAAATACGCATGCACGCCCCTTTGCTTTCCTCTTGCGTGGGACAAAAAATGTAATAACTTTTTCGGAAGAGGGTCACTGTCACTCATATCTGCATTACCGGACTGTTACCCCCTGCCAGCTGTGGTGGTTGTCAGTCGTGGGATAAAAAGCCTACCGCTGGCAGGAAGCGTCGTTTGTTATTGTTTACCTATGCTGCCCTGGCTGCGTGCGGTTCCGCGATACAAATGCATATTTGACAGCTCGCTGAAAACAAACGAAGAAGAGGAGGGGGATAACAAGAAGAGGTGTCGTTACCCTCGCTGCCCGCGTAATGCTCAGGTCCTTCATCACTTCTTCAAAGGCCGCTGTCTCCTCTGCCTGCTTCTGGTTATGCAAAGCGATTTTCTCGCTGAATTTCCGCGGATTGTTCGAAGTCGCCATGTTTCGCTCTTCTGCTCCGTTTTCCTTCAATGGTCAGTGTCAAGAGGCACGGAGTGAGGACAGACGACTTCCGGTTAGAGGGGTTGAAATAAGAAAAACACAAGAAAAAACACCGCAAAGTAGCCTAAGTGCAGTTTAAAATGGTGTTTAGAGGTTTTTGATGTAATGTAACTAAGTTAATTGACTTAAGGGTAACACTTTACGGTAAGGGTACATGAATCATCATGAATTCATGCATGACTTAATGCATGAAAAAGCATGAATTCATTCATGTAGTAGGCCTACTCATGAACTATCAGTAATGTACAGGTATTAATGGTATCTCGTGCATGACTTAATGCAGGAACAATACCTTAATTAATGCATCAACTAAGGTATCTCAATCATCATGATGTATGAGTTATTAATGATGTTCATGTCTTCTTCATAATTAATGCATCAACTGAGGTATCTCTAAGCGTATCTCAATCATCATGATTTATGAGTTATTAATGATGTTCATGTCTTCTTCATATAGATCTGCAGTTAAAGTGTCAGGCCTAAAAGGTAAAAAGTTGGACCTTTAAGCTGTTTTTGAACCCATGGCATAGATCATGGATATTTGTTCGAATGTTATTACTATTCTGCATT